CTTATCTGCTGTACATCCTGCTAACCGGAGCCATGCAGTTCCTCTACTGTCTCCTCGTTGGAACATTTCCTTTCAACAGCTTTCTCTCGGGTTTCATCTCCTGCGTGGGCTCTTTCATTCTCGCAGGTAGTGCTTTCTGCAGTATTTTTTGTGTGTGAACTTTTCGGGAATATCCAACACTTCCGCTTATAATTTTCAGCCAGTGCTGTGTCCTCTGTGCATGCTAACTGGCTAACATAGCTAAAGCAAACTGCCATCAGTTTTTTTTGTGTTCAAATTAAGTTATTTTAGGTTTTCGAAAGAGAATACAGAGACATTTCTGCGTACAAATAACCACATTTTATTGTTGTTGTTTTTTTTACCTTGCAATACTTGTATAGCAATGTGTGTCCTGTATATTAAATTAGTACATCAAAATAGTCAACATAGTGCTTCACACCTACAATGTTAGTTTGTTAGAAAAACTTCTGGAGATCCTATAAATGATCAGCAATACAATGTTGAATAATCTACAGTGCTTTATGTAGCCCAGAGTTTTTTACTACTACACTAAAAAACTGCATTTATTCACCCATTAATACACACCAGTGATGGTGGTAAATTAAGCTGTAGTCACAACTGCAGTTCAGCTTAAGCCCAAAACACCAACAGAAGGAAGGAAGCCACACAGCCAACAGGAATAGAAATGTCTCGTCCGAAGACATGACTGAGATGGACCACAAACCACCAGTTGCAGGACGAACTCCTGTCACCCCGAACTGAAATAAAAGAAGAATGAAAATATCCCTTGTTGTCCCAAGAGTAGCAAAATTCTGCAAAACTGACATCATATTAAATGTACGTTCATGTGAAAAAGCAAGAAAATGAAAGTGGGTTCTCAGAAACATGTTCAAAGTTCAGTCCGCAGACTATATGTGTAGGTGCAGATCTCAGTGATCTACTGGGAGTGAGTGCAGAGTTAAAAAATAAAAATAAATAAATAAATTATGTCTGTTATGTTATGAGCCATTTCGATATTTCAAATAAACAACAAAATTTAAAATAAATTCAGAAACACAAACCCAGTCGGTTTAAAGAAACCACTATATATGTGACTAACGGGGTCTCACTGCAGCGTGCCAATTTAAAAAAATAAAAAAAAGTCATGCCGCAGCAATTTGGTCAAACTTCAATGTGCCAATCTGTGACACCCCAATAATCACATAAAGATGGAAAATGATGAACCTTTTTAAGATGACTGAGTAAAATAAATCCCTTCGGTACTTAATTGGAAAAGGTTAGATCACACTACAGCATTTTTCTGTTGGATAAAGTTTAAACCACTGGTCAGAATCATTTGTTTTCTGGTCTACGGTCCGAATGGCGCAGACATCCAATATATATGACTTAAGTGCTGCACACATCTTGACATCTTCTAAAACCTTAAAAAGGCTTGAAAGGCAGCACTGACATCACATTTTAGTTCTAGGTAAGCTTTTTTTTTTAGTCCCATAGCGGTAAATTGCCACACTTCTTAAATGTTTGATGTCACTATACTCTAGAAAAAGTAGGACCAATAATGAGGGACACCAAACGAAAGGGTAACTTTTGAAGATCGTCACCAGCCTTAGCTGTAAAAGTTAAACTGTAAAAAAAGATTTAGGTCATGGCGGTTTTGATCCTGCAATCCTAAAAGTATCTTCCAAACCAGAAATGAAAACTAGAGGGTTATTCCTCAACCTTTTTTATATAAAGTAAATTGTAAAGAAATATACCCAATACTTTTTTGCACAGTACTAAAAAAGTGTTTTATACTATTGCAACCTAAGCCTGGCCAGGTTCATGTAGCTGACAGAGAAGGTGGCTGCTGAAGTGGCCCCTTGACACAGTTTAGCCAGCCTTCCCCTGTGTGTTTGTGTTCTGGCCTGCAGAAAGAGCACCAAAACAGTTGAGCAAAACTGGCAGCAAGAATAATTGTTCCGCTCTCTGGGGAATCCACTGAGAAGCGTGGAACCTGCACTCTGAATCTGCAGCTGGCGGCGAAGAGCTCTGTGTGCCACGAAGCCGAGCTCGGTCGAGACGGAGAGCGGAAGCGCGACCGGAGCTGAAGATGGAGTGGACTGTGTCTTTAAGAGCAAAAGCCATCTGGAAATAGTTGCTGATTTCCCAATCGCTTTTTATTCCGATGGACACGTTTGCTTGCATTTTCCAAGTTGTGCAACGGTTCAAAAAACTGATCTACAACAGCTGTTGGATGGCGGACTAATACAAGTGTAAACTGGAGAAATGATCTCAAAATTAAATCTTAATTTATTTATTTTTCTCCCCAGTGTGTCTTCGCATCCAGATCAACCCTCAGAACAAAGGGGACTTCCTGTCCATTTCTCCGGAGAGAGCCTTCGCCGACTTCCTGTTTGCTCACACCGTCCTGCATCTCGTCGTGATGAACTTCATCGGCTGAAACGAACGCAGCTCTAATTGGCGTTTCCCCTTCTCGAAGGTGTTTATTTTAGACATTTCATAAAAACAAAGTATTAAGAAGTAACTATTTCCAGAATCTCCTTAGATTTTGTAACTTGGCATGATAAAATGCCTCCAGCCATCATTATTTCTCCACTGTCACAAACAGCTAAAGTGCCGCATTTTATTTTTTGGGAAAAAAATTAAAATATAGATATATATATTTAACTTCCCAACAGCAAAGACTACATTTCTTACCTCCAAATCAACTAACTCGAGCTCTTAATTTCTCTTTCCTCCCCACAGATCTCTAAATAAGTCATCAAATCTCTGAAAATCATCAGTTTTTCAGCAGCTGATCTGGACGACAATATCCCAGCATCGACACGCTACGTCTCGACGGTTGACGCAGTACAATTTTCCTATAGCAACGATTTTGTTATGTTGACATTTGTAAAGCATTCCCTTTTTGCACTGACATAAATAAAGCAAGTGTAACGGTGACCTTGTCTCTTTGAATTGTCGGTGAAAGTTGTTCAAGTGGAACTTAATTTGCAGTCCAGAAAAGAGGATTTAGGGCTGAGAGAAGAAACTCTTGAGTCCTTGGTGTTTTTTTGTCCATTAGCGCAGCTGAGTAAATGTTGCATAAATAACAATGATAAAAGATGTCTCCAAAGTTGTAGTTATTCTGTGTTTTTTTAAAAAAAAAGACCCAACTCACCACAGCTTCTCTAAAGTAATCAAATCTGAGGTGGCTGTGGAGGGAGGTTGATTAACCGCTTGTGTGCTGATTTGTTCTGAATATCGATAATCTGTAAAAGCTCAACTTGGCTTTCTTATAAAGACCACATAATAATATATAGATATTGTTTTGAAAACTTTAATTTCAGTCCCATTTAACCAAATCCACTGAACCATTCATCCATTTACGTTCAGTTGTTGCTCTTAGTTGAACTTTTTCTCTTTTTTTTTTTTTTTACCTCCTAAGCCATCTTGGCCCTGCCTCCAAACAAAGCTTAAAAAATAAAATTTAAAAAAATCCATGTCTGGTTGTAGTGTGAATTTATACATGTGCATCTCAAAAAGTTTGAATATTTTGAAAGATTTCAGTGTTTTTATTTATTAGACTGTAATAAATGTTTCACTTTAAATTAAAAAATAATCATCCTGTAGCACATTTCTTTCAAATGTGCTTGTCTTTATTCTATCACAACTATCATAAAGCTGAAAGAAAACTTATTTTCTTACAGTTTCTAAAAGTTGATTAAAACCAGCAAATTCAAATAACCCCCAGGTTTCACCGCCAACTTTTATGGATTTCCCACTAAATCCACAGAAAGTGGATCTTAGGTTTTCAAACCTGTTTGAAAGCACAGCCTCTTACATGCGATTGATAGCGCTGGAAAGTCGAGACTCGTCTGCTTTTTTAATGCCTTAACGGAATTTTCTACAGAAAAGTTCAGTAAAAAGTTGTCATTTGCAGCACAAAAGTTGCCACGTTTCTCCATATGCTTTGCTTTGTCGAACTTTGTGGTCGGGAGTCCCTACTTGTTCACTTGGGGACAAATCGTTTTAGGTGATTTGATAAAAGGTTGAAATTGAAGCGTTTGGTCATGACGATTACGTTTGTGTAGGAAATAGAAGAGCTGACAGCAGCACTTTGTGCGGGTGTGTTGCTGCCGGGAGAATTGGTGCGCTTCATAAAATACGAGCACGAGGAACATCAGCCGCATTTCAAGGCTTCATCCTCGAAGTCAAAAAAGTTGGACACAAATGGGCCTTGCAAACAGACAGTTAGCTTCAGCACGCTGTCAAATGTCGCGTTACGGACAACAAAATGAATGTTTTGATGAGGCCTTTATTGAGATCTAATCTCAGGTCTTAAAAGGAACAAACCTCACCCAGTTACTCCAGTTCTGTCAGGAGGAATGGGCCGGAATTGCAGCAAACTATTGAAGGAAGCTTCAGGAAGGTCACAAAGAAAAGAATCAAGTTCATTAGAATTCCACCAAAGAATTCGTTAATGCCAGCTGATCCGAAACATGATATGTTTACTTTGATGTAATGTCAAGACAGCGAGAAAAATGCAGTTTACGTTTTTGTTCTAGCCTTACGTCGTAAACATCTTGATTGGCCCTCTTATTGAACTGCATACATTTTTTTGTGAAGTGGTCACACAACTTATGGAGATGTTCAGTCAACGTTTTGACTTTCCCACTGTGAACTCTCATCCCCACCAGGATGGTGGGAGATTGAAGTCAAGTAGCTGGAATGACGTCCCGGCACGAGGAGCATGCCGTTTCAAAATAAAACAACTGATAAATTCCAGCTTCCCACAAATCCTGCTTTTGACGGACGACCGAAAGCGACTCTTCGTCACCCAGTTGCTTCAGTGACTTCAACACGTCGCTCTCGTTCTCCGATCATTCCTCTCCTTCACTCGTTTCGCTGCCATCTGAACCCTTCCCTTTTGTCCGTTTGGCACCTATGTGGTTAACATCTGGAACATCTGGATCCAGCTTTTGGTCACATGACCAGCAGAGGGAGGGGAGAGGCTGACACTGCGGAACCCACATCCCAAAGCGTTTTGTGTGCTGGGTGGTGAGAACGCTTAACAAACTCCAAAAGTGAAGTCAAAACATGTGGCAGCTCTCCACGAGCACCCTTTTCTTGTTACCATGGATTCCAGGTAGGAGTGTTGAGGTCAGAAAAAAAAACAAAAAGAAAATACAACCCATTTTCAGCCGTTGATGGAGTTTAACACAAAGGATGATTAATGCCTCTGCTGTTGCCTCCTCTCTTTATTATTGTGCACTTAGCAAACAGCAGTGCTTCATCGTAAGATACTCTTTGCGCTTCGCTTCACTTCACTTCATCATTTTATTCCTTTTCTACATTAATCATTTGGGAGGCAGACTGGCTTGAAAGTTGTCGAAGCTGCTGTTTTCTGCTGGAAGGCACCGAGAGATTTAATGTTTTTCTACGTCTCGCAAGCTCTCACAGTGTTTGGCTGCAGGCGGTGGGTATGTTTGAGGTTGGTTTTTGTTAGGCCTTTAATCCTGTGAATTATAGGAAGGATAATCCGTTTTCAGAATAACAAGTAAAGGGAAGTTTCAAAAAAAAAAAAAAAAAAAGAGGGGAAGAAAGAAGGAACAAACTCCCGTGCCACAAAGGAAACCCTTGCAACAAAAACGGTCAAGGCCGCTTTCCCTATTCCATGCAGCAGATTAAAAAAAATATTAAAAAGAAAAAAAGTCCTCAAGAAATAACTTTTCTGTTCCAGCTGAACCTTTTCTGAAGATTAAAACTTGTGCTCGGCATTCATCACATCCCCTTTCTGCCAGCCTTTCTCTGTAAGGTGACCATGGAGGAAGAGTTCGACGTCCTGGAGGGCGGCTCCCTCACCATCCCCTGCCACTACGAGCCCCAGTACGCCAGCTATGTGAAATACTGGTGCCAGGGGAGGACCAGGGGGGGACGCGGGCTCGAACCGACGACCACCACCTGGTCGACCCGGCCGAGAAGAAAGTGAGCATCTTCGACGACCCGGTCCAGCTGGTGTTCACCGTGACCATGACGGACCTGAAGGAGGGCGAGTCGGGGTGGTACATCTGCGGCGTGGAGATAGGTGGCGTGTGGGAAGCCGACGACACCGCTTTCACAAAAGTCAAAGTGGTTCATGGTGAGCGTTGGAGGGCCCAAATCGGCTTTTTGAAGCACAAAAAACGGGACTCCGTTAATCGCTTTATTTACTTCAGTAATTCAATTCAAAATGGGAAACTTGTGTTTATAAATTAGGCACAGCAAGAGGGAAATAATTCATGTTTCTCTTAATTTTAATGACTCAAGGTGAATTAAAAAAAAAAAACAAAAAACCAGGTGCTCAACAAATATTAGGTCACCCAAAGTGAATCAAATCTAAATAAATATGTGTACTAATTACTAAATGTAGACATGTCATAGCAAAAGCATGAGGTGGATTGACACAAGTCTGATAGACAGTCACTGACAGCCTCCACAAAGAGGGTAAGCTGCAAAAACCAACTGCTGATATTGTTTTTTCTTTTTATATGCTATAAGAAAACATAAATAGAAAATTGAGTGAAAGGAAAGAATCCCTGGTAAACAGTCTACCAGGTAGACTGTAGTCAAAAATGTACCTTAAACACCCTCTGGTACTCTTTCAACCAAGGTTCCATGTATGTTCCATGAATGCTGGTTGATGCATATTTTACACATATTACAAATTCCACAGGAAGCACTTTGCTGCCATTCTGAAGTTGTAGTCATGCCTAGATATGCTAACTAATTACACATCTATAGCTAAAGCTAAGTGTTAAAATACACAATTCATACTTAACTTAGCACCTGCTTCAAAACAAACTACACACATGCATAATCTTTTATGTCCTTAAATAAAATAATATACAAAGGGTTTCAGCACCTCCTGCACCAAAGAGGTCTGAGTATTTTAAATAAATGTTGCGTTTCATGAGGAGTTTGGACGATGAGTGCAGAGGCACATAATCCGTCTTGCTTGAAGTCCAGTGGAAAGTTTCCACAGTCGGTGATGATTTGTGGAGCCACCTAATTTTGCCCACTGTGTTTCATCAAGTCCCAATCAGCACAGACATCTTGCAGGACATTTGAGATCCCATTTTGCTTCCTTCTGCTGAGAAGCTTTATGGGGATATTGATTTAATCTTCCTGCAGGACTTGGCCCTGGCTCACACTGCGAAGAATGCCAAAGACCCGTTTAATGACGGTGGCAACACCGTGTTTGATTGGTTTGGCTTGAGGTCTGTAGAAAGTCTGTGGATACATCGTCCAGAGAAAGACTGTAGACACCAGATCAAACAGTGAAGATGGCCTGAAGGCAACTATGAAAGCAACCTGTGCTCCAGAACTGCAGGCCGATTGCCTGCAAGCCATGCTGATGCACTCATTCGAAAGGCGCTCAGAACAAGTATCGACTGGATGTGCTTTACAGCATACAGGCTGCATTTTTTTTCTATTTGGAAAATTGCATTTCATTGGTCTTGGATAATAATTCAACACTATTGCAGACTGCATTTTGGGTTTTCATTAGTGATAAGCCGTAATACAAGCATCAAATAAACATTTAACACATAAAATTAAGACCACAAGTTTGACTTTTTGAACCGAATTACCAAAATAGATCAGCTGTTTTTTTGGTTATTTTAGTAGTACTATTGTTATTTTTATTCTTTTTACTAATGTAATGCAACTAAGGACCCTTTATTTTTATGTATTTAGTTTTGCCTCTCAATATTACGCCACGCTTTTTTTTCCATTTGTGAACCATATCAGCTAAGGCACTCCATACTACGACTACCTAAAGAATTCCTCTTATTGTTTTTTTTTCCACACATTTTCTTTTAGTTTTTGCTCACCGTGTCTTAACGGCTTATTTTACTTTGGATAGGCCTTTCTACGACATACTAATTTATTTAGACACCTGTATTAACGACACGCTGTCCTGATGATTCCTGCAGGCATGTCAGCCGTGAAGAACAGAATGAGTGGAGCAGAGGGAAGCGCCGTCACAATCGAATGCCTCTACAGCGAGAGATACAGGCATTTGACTTTTTTTCCCCTTTTGTCCCAAATACCAATCGGGCTGATTCCGTGCGAAGGCCGCGAGACCAACTCGCTGAAACGTTTCACAATTCGCATTTGACGACCAGAAAGCTCTTCACTCGTGTTGAGAGCGCACGGTGGAAGATCAGCTTTTCGGTGACTCCCCTGTGTCTGCCTGCCAACAGAGGAAGCGAGAAGAAGTGGTGTCGGAGTGGCGACTGGAGATCCTGCCTGTCGACGGGCTCTGACGGGCGCTACGAGGACTCCTCCGTGGCCATCAGAGATGACAGAACTGGGGCTTTCACTGTCACCTTTAAGAAGCTGCAGATGAAAGACACGGCGTGGTACTGGTGCTCTGCGGGGCAGGAGAAGATAGCCGTGCAAGTGGTGGTCGTACCCCAACCCACCACCGGTAGGCAGGCGTTCAAAATGAAAAAAAAAAAAGAATCACTGCGTTTGATGCATATTTCGACATGTAATCCCATATAATTCATGAGCCAGAGAAGCTTCTCTAAATTATTATACTTTTTCCACATTTTGCCATAAGTATGGCTACAAATGTTACTGCACAAAGGGAGAGAAAAAAAAAAATTATTTTACAAAATTCTTCTTGCAGTTGAAGCTCATACTATTCTGAGAAAGTATAATTAAATTTCAGTGTAAATTCAGTTTTTTGTTTTTCCTGTGAAGGGCTCAGGGATTTTTTAGAGAACTTTAACTAACAAGCAGCGTAACGAACACAAAGCAACGGAGCAAATAGTTCAGGGAGACGATTTTGAGACATGCTACTGCTTTGAACATAGTTCAAGGTGACATCGGAAAATACAGTACGGCACAAATGCGTGACCAACCAGCGTGTTGGTTTTGGCTGTTCACCAAAACCGACAGGCTGGACTACTTTTCTGATTTGCATCTAAAATGCTATACAGCACCCATGCTCGGTTCTCTGAACATGCCATCAACCTGGCGGTGTGCTTTTCTTCAGCAGGAAAAGGGGCAAGTTAGACAGAGTTGATGGTAAAGTGGCAAAACTAACCGCAGACCAACGCAGGAAAATAGCCGGTTACAGGCTGCAGGGCCGCAAGCATCAATGTAAAGCCAGGCTTGTATCCAATCTGTGGCAAGTCTTTAAAACTGATCCTCACAGACATCCTCCATCCAGTCTGCCTGATCTCGAGCTAATCTGCATAGAACAATGAACAAGAACTTCAGTTTGTCAATGTGGAAGATGACAGCGACAAATCCCAAAATAAGTCAGACAGTAATCAGAGTTAAGGGTTCTTCAATCAGGTAAAAGGACAGTTTCCTTTTCACATTTTTGTTGGCAAACACTGTTGGAGGCCATCTTACCTTTTCCTTCCACTTGGTGATTCTCCTCAACATTGAATCTATCACTTAAAATTCTAGTAAAATTAATTGACGTTGGCGCTAATAGTGTGGCACCATGGGAAAATGTTATTCGCTGTATTTAAGTGGTCTTGGCAATCATCTTAGAGTAAAAAAAAAAAAAAAGCTAAAACCATGAAAGAAAGTAACCATAAGAAATGGCTTTATGACTTTAATTCCAATTTTTACTCTTAATGGTAAAAATGAGCCGTTCACTAAAAAGGTATTTTCATGAGAGGCAAAACTGAAGGAAGCACAAACAAAGCTTAATTTATGTCTTTAATAGTTTGCAGCACAAACATTCTTTCCCAGACTAGAGAGAGGCTAAATAAGAGTCTACCCCGAGGCCTTCACATCGTCTGGGGAATACTTGATGCTGAAAGGAAGAAAATGAAAAACGCTTAGCTGTCATGTTTGGACCAGGTTTTGCGTTTGTCAAGTTTGAACTGTTCTGTTCTTGCGATCAATGAATCCTTTCAGCTCTCGAGTTGCTAAAGTGAAGCCGTGTGGCTAGCCCGCTTTGTCCGATACATCTGTAGATATTTACACGCTGCTTCTGAGGTCTTTAAAAGTCACCCATTTATTGTCCACAAAAGTGAATCTGCTGAGGAGTTATTGTCAAAAAACCTTGACAAGGAGAAAAGGGGGATTGCAGAGAATAAGCCAGACGATGCGCTCAAGCTTGCAGGCCTTTTTTAGTTTCTCTGCCATGCTTGTAAAGTCAAAGCTCGTAGACTAAAACTCTCAGAAGTGCTGATAAATAGTTCATAGCAGCAATATTATCTACATTTCTTTTGTGCGGGAGACGTCCTGGGTAAGTGTGAGTTACTGGGAAACCTTTGATTTTCGCCGTCAGAATTCCAACTCAGGAGACCCTTTTCTATTTTATAATCGGCAGTTTTATGAATTAGACCCGCCGGTGCAAAGGTAATGCGTCTCGAGAGTCAGATTAGAGAGATAAAGGTGAGGATAATCCATTGTTCTCGCCTGTTGAAAGTTTTATTTCACAAAGGAACAGTCAGAAATGCGCTTGACGTCAGAATTTCACCTGGGGACGTCGCAGGTATAAACTCACTGTGAACTTGATCTCAGCCGAGATTCTAAAATGACATTCACGTCATCAATAAAACGACATCAGTAATGAAGAAAAAGCACCTCACTCTCTCTCTCTCCACCCTTCTTCCTGTTGTTCATTCAAACATGACGAGGAGAAAAGAATTCACTCAAACTTCTAACTACTTTTGGAGTTGTTGCTGCTAATGTCCATTTTGTAGCCATTAAAACGCAAAGAAGCTGCTCTTAGCATCAATATGTCATCATACTGTGCTGCAGGAAGCATCTGCTGCAGCGTATGGATTTTTTCATAACACCTGTCAAGAATATTGATGCCACACATCGAGTTTCTATTGCGCAACAAACTCTCTTGTGCTCGGCACACTGCTTCAATTTTTCTTTTTCAATTTCTTCTTCATGTTGTTGCTACCTTAAATATATCCGTCTAATGCCGCATTGTCTCTGGCAGTTCCACCAGCGTCGAGCCAGTCCTTTCCAGACCTGCCTCCAGCCAAACCCATCACGAGGGAGACATGGAGCAGCCACAGGTAGAAGCTCAGTATCTCTGATTTGTGCTGCGCCTTCAGTTTCAGAGTCAACGTGGATTGCCATCAGCAGGCTGAGTGTCTGTTTGTTCGTTTTTAGTCCCATGTTGGCGTCTGTGGTGGTCTCCTCATCTGTCATTTTCCTGGCTGTCGTGGCCATATTGGCTGTGAAGTTCTGGAGGCTGCACAGTAAGGCCACTCGTTTCCTTAAACGCAATTCCAATGCATCTGCGTGAACAAAGTCAGAGGATTTGGTAATTATTTCTTAAAGTACTCTCGCTGTCCACTTCCAGGCCGGGTTCCAAGAGACGTCGAGGAGATGAGGGCGAAATTCAGCGTAAGCTCCTTTTAAACAGAGCTCTCCCTGCTGATGCAACAACAACAAAAAAAAAACTGTTTTGTGGATGTGATTTATAGAATGTTGTTTTGTAATGTCTCCTGCAGGGCTGCTCAAGAGAAGCAGGTGACTTTCAAAACGCGGCAGTACTTTTCCTTAACAAGGATTCCCAAGATGTGCGTGTGTACTGATGTCTGACATTCTGTGACGTCTGTTGTTACTTTCACAAACTGAATGTAATGGAGTTTTTTTTATTTTTATTTTTTTTTTTATTATTTCCTTGCACTTGTCAGAGCATGCACCCTCGATGGCATTGTTTTTCCTTTTACATTGTGCACTGCGGTACACGTCCATCATGTGCCGCTTTCTGCAGTTCAGCTTTTACAAATTTGCACCGCTTTTATACATGTTTTCCAAAAGACATGGATGATGTTCACATGTGGTTCAATCAATTCTGTTTGGAACTGATTCAGAAAGTTCAGAGGGTAATTCAATAATTTTATTAGCATTTTTAGCTTATTTAAGGGGAATCCTGTGATCATAAAGGTGATATAAAGCACATTTTGCATGTTTTCTCTGGTGTTTGGAGTATAATATTTTTGGTGTTGAGCCTTATGGCTTTGATCCATGTCAGAACTTTGACTGGTCCACTCCAAAGTATTCACATTACTCCCAGTGAACAGGAACATGTTGCTGAGCTCAGAAGATTCAACATTTTTCCCTCCCTGCGGACAGTGACGCTGACTCTAGTAGCCTCAGCAGGTTAGGAGTCTTGCAAATTATCTTTCTTGGAGAAATGATCTTCCATGTAAGGTAAAAAAAAAAAAAATTGGACCGGAGGGAGAATAGTCCCAAAGAAACAACACAATAAGGCCCATGGGAACCTCTGAGTGAGAAAGGGTCACAGCTGCCCAACCTATGCAAATGAGATCATAACATTATTTGAAACCCTGCATTGAATATTGCTGACTACATATTGATCAGCCTCCTCCGTATCGACTTTATTATCAAGCTAGAAGCAAAAAGGAGGGGAGGCGCTTGGAGTGGCAAGAGTTAGTCCAAATTGTCCATTACACAGAATTTCTTTTGCATCATGCAGACAATCTGGAGTGTGTGAGATTTTTATTTAACGAGGCCGTGCCTGCAGGATGCGTAATGCTACCAGGTCAGCCCCCCTAGCACAGCCCTGCAGTGTGAGCCTTTTGTTCCACCCGGGATGATCTCGTTTCATATTATCACGAGGTTTGACCCAAAAGTTTGTTTTTGGTTATTTTTTATACCCAATTCGACCCTATGATTATATACACTGCATCATTTATCAGCAGGGAGCTAGTAGGTGTTTTAGAGCTCCCCTTTCCACATATAAAATATATATTTTGCTTATTGTGCATATTTGCTGTTGAGTGTTTTTGTCATTCAGCGCCACGTATTGAACACAGGAAGGCGATCATATTTCAGCAGAAAGAGGCAAGCATGAAAATAAACTGATAAACCAATAAACACTGCAAAGGCTTCTCTTTTTTTTTCTACTGTTGTGGGAATTTATCTTTTCGTTGTTATTGCGTCCTAATTAAATGGACAAATGGCACCAGTTATGATGCTGGGGAAGTTAATGAATCCTTAGACGCTGATGACAAATGGCCGAATGCAGAGTTTAGTTTTTATCTCAATATGAGGAAGTTCTGAGCCTGAATCGCTGCTGCAGAAAAACAAAAAAACATAAAAAAATATATATATATATTAAACTGAAGTGAATGAGTTGAGGCCATTTGTCTTCTTGTCGTTAACAAGAAAGCAAGAATTCATTCAATGAAACAAAAAAAAAACACAAGCAGCATGACCAATTAAACAAACGCCGGCACAACGAAAATAGTAGCAGAAAATGGGGAAAGTTCCCTTGAGATGGACTCGTTTTCAGAAGGACAAAAAGAAAAAAATACACCCAAGCTACAAAAAGAGAAAAGAATCCTCCCTCCTTCCTCTTCATGCTTGAAGAGCCTCGTTCTCATTACCAACCGCAAACAACATGTTGGAATAGTAAATTGAACAGGCTAATGAGATTGTCAAAGGAGCCGTGGAGCAAAGGCTGCACTCGATCCCGACCAACGTAAATCAATATTTAGCTCCTCTTTTGAAAAATAATTTAAAAAACCCAAATGCAAATAATGAATACTGTTTGACGGACATTGCCTCGAAGAAGCATTCATATCTGTTGGACCTCTGCATATTTTGCTACCTTACAACTGGAAGCTCTGAGATAACTTACAAGGAAGTTATTGTTTTTCTACTTTGGATATTAGTGTGGCTTACATTGATTCCAAATATTGTATAGGAATGATGTCTGACATTGCATGTCAATCATCTGGAGGGCACCTCCGGGGGGCAGTCAATCAGATGTGGGGGCAGTGCCCCCCCCAAGCCCCTCCTTCTGCCTCCGCCCCTGCACAGGAGGACTCTCTTGCATTTAGAGGTAACAGAGTGAAGGGGGCTGAACACTGACATGTTTTTTATTTGTGAAACAATAAAAAAGCGGAGAACGCGTATCCATCCCAAGGGATACGGATCGCCTCGCATACGTTCACACCGATGTCTGCTGTTAATGCGACATCTTTTTCCTTTTGCAAGCGTTTTAGTATTTTGACACTTTTTGTTTGCAAATAATTTGCTGTCCAGGCCAGAAACAAACAAACAAACAAACAAAAAAAACTCCCCGGGAGATTACAGCTGGCAATGTTCAGTCGGCCAACATCAGCAGCGCCAGGCTGTTTATGCAGAGCTCTTGTGCATCTGTCAGAACAAAGGTCAGCCAGGCCTTGTGCTGCTGAGGGATTCTGGGGCTTCAAGAGTTCAGCAAATAAGGCGAGCTGGGCATTCTGCGACTATACGTTTAGATGAATATTACAGAGTCAGGTAACTGCTCTCACTCGGAACTTGACCTGATTTTGCTCTATGACGTCGGGCGACGCACCCGGATTGAATTAGAATCACATGGTTCAGTAAATGAGTCAGAGGAGCTAAATCTGACGAAATGCGAGCTCTCTCTGTCTCGTTTTGTACAATATTTCTTGTTGTTTTTTGTTTTGGTCTGTATTTCAGTCAAACCTTTCACTTGCCTGTTTTGCGATTGTGATTGCGTCTCAGGGAGCAGCTGCGATTTCACACGAGTCACGGTCCCTCTCCTGAGTCACTGACAGCGTGGTAGTTTTTTTTTTTTTTTAACAGGATTTGTCATTTTCAATTAAATTCAATTAATTGCTCCGCGGCTCATCGCACTGTCACAATTTGGCTCCCACTGCTTTCTTCGAAACGTTCAGCAAGTCGCGCTGTTACATTCTTGAGTGTTCATGTGTCGCTATTGTCATTTGGGTTTCATTCCGTCTCTCTCTCTCTGTGTGTTAGAGAAGCTCCATCATTAATCTTGATGCCTTTTTGGAACTGAAGCGGTTCTGCCACTAGATGGAGGTCAACGCTGCATGAAATGCGTTCCTCCCATTGTGCGCTGTTGACGGCGGGCGCCTATTCATGCACAAAAGGAGCGTTTCTTTTGTTTTCCTATTCAGACGGGAACATAAAGCGGAAGAAAGGCAGGGAGGCTGTTGCTTCCTCCCCCCCCGCAGGGCTCTGTGAGGCAAACCGCAGCGTCTTAACGTTCAAACAGTCGTGTTTGTTTTCCATTCGCTCCTTCGGAAAACGCTCCACGTCGGGTTTATGTCCACATGCATTAGAAACTGCGTTGCATTTTCCTTTCTTTTTTTTTTCTGCTTGCAGGCGGCGATAATACAGGCGTCTCCTGCTTGTTTGGTATCACGGCCCTGTCCGATAATAGGGACATTATTTTGAAATTCCAAAAGGTCAGGCAGAAGGGATAAAGACTTTTCTTGTGCCACTATTAGCATGGAGGCCAAGCATATGCACACAACAACAGAACCTCTTGTCCGAGTGGACGGAGCAACAAAAAACATAAATAGGCTAAATAACTTTGTCGCATGAATAAGGAGCCCAAATGAAGCATTTATAAGCACAGTTGGTTGCAACGCCGGCATGTTTCAGTGATCTTAGTGCTTTTCATTTCTCACGCGCGCGCTTTCACAATTCACATTCGCGCGCTCCAATGCTTTTCGGTTTATGTCGGAAATACTCGTGGAACTTCGGAAGTGCTTGTAAAGCCCACAACATCTGGAGATATGGGGAACAGGGTTGGGAAAGGAAGTCAAGAGAAGCTTGAATGTATTTTCCCTGGGATTTTTTATGAGGTCGACACTCAGTGGTTCATGAATGGGAGGAAAGGGGATGTCGTTTTCTATTTACTTTTCTTTTTATACATGCTTAAAATGTTGAAAAGAGTGGCTTGCCTTCTTATCCTCCAAGGAAAATACAGTTTCGAGTACTTTGTAACGCGTCTCCATCCAGCTTTAAAAGTCCAGTGAGAGGAAATTTTCCCCTTTCATTTTTTTTCCACTTTATTTTATTGTTTTATTTTCTAGCTGAAGCGCTCAGTTGGAATTTACTGCGATGGCAAAACACTAATCTATGACTTTTAAAGTTGCAGTGTGTAACTTTCATTAAAATTATTATTATTTTTTTTTTTACATATTTGTTAAAACTGCCATTATGTTGGTTTATATGGTTTGAAATTCGAATTCAAAAAAATACTTTATTGCTCCCAGAAGGAAATTAAATACTCATATTAATTCCAAATCTTCTAAGAGTTACCATAGATAGTGATGGCTGATTACTCTGAGGATGTATTGACAGTCTTAAATATGTCAAATGTATGTATTTTATTTGATAAAAGTTACTGCAGTTTAAAAGACAATCAATTTGTCGTCAAAAAATGTATCCTGCGATTCATCGAATAACGATGGATGGAGTTGGTGCAGGAAACATTTTTGCTGCTTAAATAGCTTTTTCCACTGCTGGTGCCATAAGAGCATAAGCATCAAAATACTTGAAAATATGCTCGGATGAGTACGTGGCGTGATGTTCAAACATTTTTAATGCCGCTGTTGTACTGAAGAAACCTCCTTTGCAGTGAGTTTATTTAATTTTCAGAGTGGTTTTCGGTTCTCTGAGATATTCGCTGCAGACAGTGATAGATTTATTGCCAAATCGACTGGCACATATTAAAACAGCTTTATCATCAGATACTGTATCAATAATTAAAGGAGTGTATATTGCCCGTTCCTCTTCATCACTACTTTAGGGATGGTGCGTTTAGGTGCAGTTTTAGTTTCCCGCCACATATTAATTTAGTTTTTATCAGATTTGAACACTTTCTGAGTGTTTGCTGGCATCCCCACGTTGTTTTAGGACAACATGTACATCAGTTTACTCGTGACTTTTTTCTGGTTACTTTTTTTTTTTTTAAACTTAAGGACAGATTCAAGTCGTGACTTGAACCTGTTGAAGAATGAATACAAGGCACCGTTTCAGACAGCAGATGTCACGCAGCTTATTGTTTGGTAAAACTTTCTGCTGTTAATATACTCCTGAAAACAGTCAATAAAATCCAGTTCCTGATTATTAAGTGACCTTCAGCATAAATGTATAACCACAAGGGAGCAAAGTCTGAGGTTGAACTTGAATATTTCACAAAAACTGAACAACTATGTGCTGGATTTCACACAGCCGTGGGAATGGAAGTGATTAAAACGTATCTACAATGATTTGGAGGAATAGTACGCCTGTAATTTGTTTATTTATTTGGATTCTATCTTCTTATTTAAAAATAGGTTAGGAAATAATAGAATGGAAATATTATTTATTGCCCCACCGTGGGAAAATTCTTGTGTACTAGAAGAAAATAAAGGCTAGGTGGAAGGAAACATATTCACACAAAGGTTAAATATATAAAAATAAGATAAGAAGCTTTACAGTAAGACCAAAAAAATAATAATTATGCAGTTTCTTAAAATAACACACCCAGATCAATGGAAGTGTCCAACTGAGGGTAAGTTAAATAAAGAAAAATGCACGAGATGTGCACGCATATTTTTGGATAATATTTGCAAGCTGTGGAAACCAGCAGCGCAAACAACAGGGATGTAAACACTTGCTGAGTTTGTTGGGATCATTTTCAGTATCCACGATCTCATTACGAATGTGTGCAGATCTCTGTCAGCACCCAAACTATTTCATTAATGCTGTTTTTTCAATAAATAAGAAATCACGCGTGGAAGTTTGTTCTCGTGGTTAGTTTTTAAAAAAACATGCCACACCATCCTCCTCCTACCACTTGATGTCGCCAGTAGCTGCATCGGGTAGTTGTTACACAAAATTCCTCCTACTGCAAAAACAGAAAGAAAACAAAATTTTATTGAAAATCATGAGCTTTTTCTAAGTTGCAGTGTTTCCATTAAGCGTATTTATTTCCGTAATTGCAATTTGTGTAGTTTTAAGGTCAAAGGAAACACAGCCAGTGATTTTTGACCCAGAGTTCTTCTGTCTCCCGCATCAGATGCAGGGATCGTCCAAGCACAGAGCTCATTTCAGCTGCTTTTTCCCCCAAGACGC